ATTTATTTGCATTCAAACCCGAAGAGCTGAAGACAGCAAAGTATGTGAAACATTTTATTGAAACGGGAGATGCGAAACCAATAAAACAGCGCAACTATCGCTATGGACATAAAGAACAACAAGAAATATCCAAACACCTGACCCCGAAAGGACACAAGCTATCGATCACTTCCCTCGCCCCAATAAAGTAAGGGATGTCCGCTCGTTCATCGGTATGGCCAACTACTACCGGAAATACATCGAAAACTTCTCAATGATTGTGAAACCACTCACAAATCTAACCAGAAAAGACATTCCCTGGAAATGGACCGAACAGTGTCAACAAGCGTTCGAGACCTCAAAGCAAAATTGATTTCGTTTCCGATATTGGCTCACTTCCGGATCGGTGACCCGCTGATACTGTATACAGATGCTAGTGGTTACGGAATCGGAGCTATTTTGAGCCAAATCCAAGGAGGCGAAGAACGAGTGATACAGTACGCGAGTTGTACTCTTAATAAACATCAAGAGAATTACTCTGTATCTGAAAAAGAATGCCTGGGGATCCTATAGGCGATCGATAAATTCAGACATTATCTATACGGCGCTGAATTCACAATTAAAACAGATCATTGTGCTCTGTGCTGGCTAATGAAAATCAAAGACCCTTCAGGAAAGCTGGCCAGATGGTCATTACGATTACAGGAATACGACTTTACAATTGTTTACAAAAACGGAAGAGCGCACTCTAATGTGGACCCATTCTCACGATACCCAGTGAAAACACCAGCCGATGAATGCGAAGAGATCACAACTTATGCCACCGAAACAATTGATATGCCCGAAGTGCAACGCGAAGACAAATGGTGTTCCAGAATAATACGGCAACTGGCACGAACTGATGGACAAGAAGACAACGCTTTCATTTTGCTGAACGACATACTTTACCGCAAGGCAACAGATGCAATGGGATTTGACCGACAATTAATTTGCTTACCATTTAAATTACGCAAAGATGTTTTGTTTTCGCTACATAATGACTTAACTGCCGGACACTTAGGATTAATCAAAACTTTGTATAAAGTAAAAGAGAGATTCTATTTTCCAGGCCGGAGTCAATATGTGGCAAAGTATGTCCGAAGTTGTAAAGAATGTCAATCCCGCAAACGAGATTATGGTCTACCCAAAGGACTTATGCAACCGATCGAGTCCAGCGAACCATTTCAACTAGTGGGAATGGACATATTAGGCCCGTTTCCTAAGTCTGATCGCGGCAACAAATATGTCATTCTTATGGTCGACCATTTCACCAAATATCTAGAAGCAATTGCGATACCCGATACAACTTCAGATAAAATTGCCGAGTTTTTCATCATGAGTGGCGTATTGAGACATGGCGGAATCCAGAAGTGTCTAACCGACCGCGGCACTAATTTTTGTTCAAACTTTTCCGAAGCGGTCTATCAAGCAATGTCCACAAAACACATCAAAACATCGGCATATCACCCGCAAACCAACGGTTTGGCGGAAAAACTCTAAGCGATATGATGGCACTGTACTGTCGATACAATCAAAAGGATTGGGACACGTTCTTGCCATATTTGGTTTTCGCATACAACACAGCCCGTCAGGACACAACACAAGTGAGTCCTCACTTCTTATTATACGGCAGACACCCGAGACTCCCCATAGACGTAACACTTAACATCGATTCGAGCTACAAAGAGCTCTCAAACACTGGTATCGGTATTGAAGAAGCTAGAGCTCTGGTCCGAGAGACCATCAATGAAGCCCAGTGGAGACAGAAGAGTCAATACGACAAAAGACATCGCTATATTGAATTCCAAGAAGGGGACACAGTTCTTGNAATACGACAAAAGACATCGCTATATTGAATTCCAAGAAGGGGACACAGTTCTTGTTTTTACAAAAACCAGAAAAGTTGGACTCAGTGAGAAGTTAATCAACTGCTTTTACGGGCCCTACAAAGTAGTGGAGAGACTGACCAACGTTACTTATGTGGTAGAAGACCTAAGGACAGGACGACGAACTCAAGCGACCATCGATAGGATTAAACCCTACTTTGATGACAACTTGACCGACGAGGACATCTGGGTCTACGAGACGTCGCCTAACAACGACCAGGACGTAAGTGACAACTGAACAATATAGTCTCGTAATGTGTTTTGTAATATTATCTTAACTCGATCTCACATGTGGAAGTACACGTGTGATTGGATTTGGACTTCCTCTTGAATTGTTGATTATTGAAAATTTATTTAAAATATTGTATTGCATGCATGGGATACATGGTGTAAGTTTTAATCGTTATATGCGCATTCAAACATAAACATAACAAATAATATTTGACACTTTTCAGAAAATTTTATAATACTTAAATAATGGTCATTAATTGTCTTATAAATGACATCCTACCAATTTTCTTAGCTTAAAACATTTATTGACAATACACGTACGTAATCGGTAAATTATGACAAATTATTGTCGCCAGTTTAATAATTATAATTAATTAAAATTATATAAAATTATTATTTTGTTTTAGTGTACAAACATTTTATGTTAACTAAAATAACATTACAGACATATAGACAGTTTTATTAAAAATTTCGGATATTTAGAAAATGACCATTAATTGTTTATAATTAACATCTCACGAATTTTATTTGATTAATACATTTTATACTAAATTACTTTTAGAATCAAGAAATTTTGATACATTATTGTCGCCAGTTTATTAATTATGACAAATTTAATTTTTATAAATTTTTATTTTTATTGTATACAAACACATACAAACACTTAAATATTACATTACACAAATGTTATACTTAATTAACGGATTAATTTTAGCCATGTTTTGTGAGGTACGATTACCCACAATTATGATTTATTGTACAGAAATAATGTACCACATTGTTGTAAACACGTCTTTACCTTTGAGGGACCAAAGGTCATGAGAAGGGGGATATGTAACGTCAGGTTTAGACTTACTGGTTAATTATTACTCACCGGACACTTGACCATCTAAAGTGTCGCTGAGTATTGTCTCACTCATGAGTATACTTGTCCATTCTAATTGTGTACTTTGAGTTAAGGCGACTATCGCCGTGTCTTAAGCCATTATTACAGTATACATTAATTCATAGTTGTAGTAGAAATATAGGGTCAGTTTCAGGCATACCCTGACTACCCCGTGGGTGTCGACGTAGACACCCTGCTTACTGTCAGTTAATCCTTGGTTTCACTGTAGCCTTCCCTGTATTACAAAACCCATTAAAATACATGTTTTAATAATAATACTACTACTGCATAATTGTAGCCAATAGCTTTCCATAGGAGTACACATTCACTTTTACGCACTTTTGCGTTAACCAATTATACACTAACTTTAAGGTCAGGAGCGCACTTGCGCTCTGTCATTTTGTCTTGGGATCTGAACAGAACAGATCCGTTTAATTCAGTTAATCTCTGGACTCTTAATCGTGTGGACGTGTTCTCTTCCTTTGGTGGACTCCATTGTCCACTAGTTTATGTACTTTTAACCATTTTTGTTATAATAAAGCATTAAGACTTCACAGTCCCAAACAGTTGTAAGTAATTCATTTGATTCGGGCCACTAGTGCCCGCTCTTTCTCTCCCAATCCTATTCCCTCCCTCTTTTCTCCGCTCCCGTATCCGACATGCCAAACAAGACCCGCTAATTACGGTTCTCGGTGCTGATGGGCTTCGGCCCGGCACCCGCTCCCAACTCCGTGCCCTGCCTCGGCACCCCTCCCGCCTCTTATGGTTTCGTGTCGCAAGACACACGGGTCGGTCACTTATGTGGCCGATTCTATCCTCAAACCACTGGTCGATAGACGATACCTGGACGCCATCCGACTGACTGTGGAGTGCTCGCCTCGTGATGGTCGATACACACGCTTCGCCAACACCATCTGGCCGTCTACCGCTCGAGACGTAACGCCACGCAATTGACCGACACGAGGACCGCAGAACGAGACTCCGCATGAGGACGGATGCCGGGTTGGTGGTCGCGCGGACGTGCCCTCACACTCGTTGGTGGTCACACGCCAGACGTACGCACGCTTACGCACCGGACGAGTGGACAGCTGACTCCGCGGACCACACCGGATGTCGCAATATTTTGGGTCTACCATGTTTATTTTAATAGCCCAGGGGGCCTCCCCGTGCTTGGCGTTCACACCATATGCTATACGACTATTGAGTAGATTGTGCCGGAGCTCATGGTCTGAGCCGTAAATATTTGTCACTTGTTTTGCAGTATAGTTATTGGGAAAGCATTTCATATCGTATGTTATGTTAAAATGTTCTGGCACAAATCCGATGCCACAGTCTTTGTCATTTACTCCGTAGTCTGTATATGCCTTATAATCGCCTATTTCTACAAACCGGCCATAGATTGGCACTAAAATTTCATACAGTGATTTCAAATTAAATATAAAAATTATATAATAACAGTATTCAATACTCACAAACTATTGAGATTAAAAACAAAATGCATTTAATTATAGCCATAACTTATTTTACTTTAATAGCTGTTTAACAAATATCAATGTTTATTTCTATGGTATAAACTGATTTTAAAACTAACTTAACATAGAGTTTATTTTATTTTTAACCAAATACTATTTAAACGCTTCTATTAATAAAAATAGTTTCCAGATTTTTGAATGTTTGTAAAAATGCATGCAATAAACAAATTAATTGTTACATCTCAATATCAATTTAAATCAATCTATTGTTACACATACAGTATTTAATATCAATACAGATAAATAGTGTTTTTAATAAAAGTTCTAAAACACCAACATGTCATTGAAATATTGATATTTATTTTTTAAATGATCTAGAGATATAAAAAGTTATGGCTATATTTATGTGCTTTTTGTTTTTAAGCTTAATAATTTGTAAGAATTTAAAAATAATATTGTTTTATATAATCCTTTTATTTAATTTGAAAATTACTGCATTTTTTAGCCCAAATTAACGGACTGTTTGTAGAAATAGGCGATTATAAGGCATATAAAGACTATGGAGTGAATGCCAGGGACTGTGGCATCAGATTTACGCCCGAATTCTTGAATATAAAATATGATATGAAATGCTTTCCCAATAACTATACTGTGAAACAAGTGATGGATATTTATGGCCCACACTATGAGTCCCATTACAACCTACCGGACAGTCGTATAGGATATGGTGTGGACTCCAAGTACGCTGAGGCGCCCTGGGCTGTCAAATTAGTCATGTTAAAAGGCCAAGATTTGGACGGATGGTATTGTAGCGGATCATTGGTCACCACATTATGGGTCTTAACGGCTGCCCATTGCTTTGATAAGTAAATTAATATTGATGTGTTTTATAAGTAACGTAATAATTAATAATAATATATCTAAATTACAGTGGTAAAATTAATAATGTGTGGAAAATAATGACCGGTAAGAATTGGAGAATACCGGTGGACACCAGACATAAGGATGTTGTGGTTATTCATGAAAACTACACCAAAAATACAGATCTCTATGACTTGGCTTTGGTTAGACTCGACAGCGAGTTCTGGCGTCTCAATGATAGCCGACATTATCTCATAAACACTATATGTCTGCCAGAAAGCGGACGAATAAACCACGACTTAGAGTTGGCCACACTATTCGGGTTTGGGTGGATCGGGGATAACGGCACTGTCCCCGACATTTTACAACGTGGTCAATTTATTGTTGAGCCGTGGACTGAATGTCCCAGAAGTCTCGACGGTATGATTTGTACCAAACGAATATTGGATACGGATGTAGAGCTCATTATGAGACCAATGATTTGTAAAGTATGCCATCAATTATTATATATTGTATATATTTTTATATTTATATTATTATAATCTCTCTCTCTCTCTCTCTCTCTCTCTCTCCAATATATAACGTATTCTACAGATTATATTTGCAGATAATGTCGTCTCAATATTTTTAAAACCCATAGATATATAGCCATCCATAGAATTACGTAAACATAAATCAATTTAAAGTGCATTTGTTTGTATTAAAGTGTTGCGCAAACATTGCAAATACATTACTGTTAACAATAACAACAGCAACAAAATACTTGTTAGATATAAGACATGCACTTTTCTGTAAAGATTGAGAACAACACAAAAAATAGTTTAAACTTTTTTATATCAAAAACATTTTTACTCTTTATTTTCATAGTTAAACACATTGTTGTGTAAGTCGTTTGGAAATTACTTTCTTTGTGTTGCTTTTTAGGCATCAATTATGTTATGAATATATCGATTGATATCTGCATTGTTTTACTCTCATATCATATCCATAGATATGGATAACAATGCTTTCTCTCGCCGTTTATTACATTAAAGATATATTTAGTTATGAGTTTCCGAGCAATGAGTGTAAGAGCGTAGACATGGAAGACAGGGAAGACATTCTTCACCAATTGGTGTCTTCATATGATAATCAATTATATTATATTTGAAACCTTAGACAACAAAACAGTATCTTCTTTCCAATTACTGTCAGAACAAAGTTTTTTCATTATTATTGAAATTTTATTCCAAAAGCTATTCAATTGATTATCAATTAATTATAGCGAAAGAATAGTTTAAGGAAAACAAATACAAGAATTTACTTAAAGGGAGAGATATATTGTATTGTATGTAAGAAATTAAATCTCTTAATTATATTCAACTGAATACATGGATTTTAGTCTCTCTCTCTCTCTCTCTCTCTCTCCCTCCCTCTCACTCACTCACTCACTCACTCGAAAGGGTGATTCGGGCGGAGGTTTGGTTCAATATATTGATAAACAGGAAACCCGTGCCATACATATCGCAACAGTGATAGCGGCGCGTCCCTCACCTTGTGGTCAATTCAGAGGCTATTTACTCTCGACTTCACTCAATATTAAATGGATTTTGGATACCATTGTAAACAATACTAATGCTTAGATAATATCATAAAACATACATTATTTTAAAGTTATTTTTTGTTTATTGAGCCTGAGCTTATTATTTGAAAAATAACTGTACAAAACCGTTAATTTAATTCAACTTTTGTATTTAAAAATGTGTTAATAAATTACTGTATTTACAAAACTCTCATTACATTTACGAATCGTAAATTACGATCATTATGAGATTAATTAAATTAATAATAATTTTGAACTTAAAATTTTGTAAGTGTTTCTATTGAACATGATTTTAATTATGAGAACTAATTATGTTTTAATTTCAGCGCAAACCTACTGTTTGTTTGTAGAAATAGGCGATTATAAGGCATATAAAGACAATGAAGTGAATGCCAGGGACTGTGGCATCAAATTTACGCCTGAATTCTTGAATATAAAATATGATATAAAATGTTTTTTTAATAACTATACTGTGAAACAAGTGATGGATATCTATGGCCCACACTATGAGCCCCATCGCAACCTACCCAACAGTCGTATAGGATATGGTGTGGACTCCAAGTACGCTGAGGCGCCCTGGGCTGTCAAACTAATCATGTTAAAAAGGGGTGATATAATAACGGGAACGTATTGTAGCGGATCATTGGTCACCACATTATGGGTCTTAACGGCTGCCCATTGTTTTGATGGGTAAATCAATATAAGATGTGTAATAAAAATACTATTATAATTGGCAATAATGTGTAATTCAGTGATAGAATCAATAATACGTGGAAAATAATAACCGGTAAAAATTGGAGGAAACCGGTGGACTTCAGATTTAAGGATATTGTGATTATTCATGAAAACTACACCAAAAATACAGATCTCTATGACTTGGCTTTAGTTCGACTCAACAGCGAGTTCTGGCGTCTCAATGATAGCCGACATTATCTCATAAACACTATATGTCTGCCAAATGCCGGACAAATCAATAATGAGTTAGAGTTGGCCACACTATTTGGGTTTGGGTTGATAGGGGAGAACGAGACCGAACCCGACATTTTACAACGGGGTGAATTTATTCTACTTCCACAGAATGAATGTGATAATAGTGCTTATGGGAAAATATGTACTGTAAGGACATTAAATACGGATTTAGTGACAACCGAGAGACCAATGATGTGTAAAGTATGTCAATATATATTATGTATTATATTTATTTTACTTTATTATAATCTCTCTCTCTCTCTCTCTCTCTCTCTCTCTCTCTCTCTCTCTCTCTCTCTC